AATTGTTGAAAAATTCATATAATGTCAACCTTCGATTGCAAGAAAACTTCTAAAAAAATCGACTTATTTTTGAAAAAGTAAAAGGAAATTGAGTTCGGCCAGGCCGAAATTCTAATACCCTCCACCATTGGATAAAGAAACCATTTTTATGCAAAAACATCTGGATTCAAATGTGTTCCACTTTAACCTACAAACTCCAATAAGATCGGTAGGAGAATGGTTGGAGCCCTTATATGGGGCCATAATAAATAAATATAGGAAATTTATACTACAACAATATTAGGCTATTGTGAGTCTTAAATACAAAATATGACATAAGTTTGTGGATAAATGTAACTATTTTTTGACAGCCGGTTGTGGAACCCATTGTGAAGTACAAACACCAATCACACAACTCTATTAGAAAATGTGGCTTAAATCGTCAAAATACCGAATATCCGAAAAAATCGTTATATGTACACTACAAAAAACGTGGACCTAGATATTTAATGTTCTGCCCATTATGACCTACAAATACAAATCTTTGGAAAAGTGAGCGTATATCGGGAGGTATCGTTATAAGGGGATAAACAAAAACGTGGATCTATATATGCTATGTTCCGCCACCGGAGCTAGAACCCATTATGACCTACAAATACCAATTTTTAAACAAATTCGTGGAAAAATGTTGCAAAAATCATCAAAATGCCGAATATCGGGAGGTACCGTTCTATGGCGGCTATACAAAAACGTGAACCTAGATTTGCAATGTTTTGCCACCGGAGCTAGAACCCATTGCAAACCACAAATTCCAATTTTTAAACAAATCCGTGGGAAAATGTTGCAAAAATCATCAAAATACCGAATATCGGGAGGTACCGTTATATCGCGGCTATACAAAAACGTGGACCTAGATTTTTAATGTTTTGACACTGGAGCTAGAACCCATTACAAGCCACAAATACAAATTTTTAGACAAATTCATGGGAAAATGTGGCAAAAATCATCAAAATGCCGAATATCGGGAGGTACCGTTCTATGGGGGCTATACAAAAATGTGGACCGATATGTCTCATTTTCAATACCAACCATCCTAGACACAATACAGATTTTTCTGCCGAACTTTGAAGCTCTACGCCAAATAATGTGGACTGTATCGTGATTTCAATAGACAGACGGACAGACATCGTTAAATCGACATAGAATTTTATGCTGATCATGAATAAATATACTTTATGGCGTCTGTGACGAATATTCAGATGTGTTACAAGCGGAATGACGAATTTAATGTACCCTCCTCTCCAAAGTGGAGGATATAAAAAACATTTTAAAAACCTTGGACATATATATGTTCCCAAGCGTTAATGCATCTACCTGTATTCTTCTACCATGGTATGTACTTTACTCATTTATTTCACAACTGAAATGTCGTCCATGTATCACACGATATGTGCAACTTCTACATATGAAAAAATTTTACATGACATATGTAAGGAATATGTTTTAGAGTCTTTGGAGTCGTTGCTCTTGAAGAACCTAGATAGTGAAAAAGAGTTGAACAGACATCAGAGGAAACATTCGTCCGACTAAAATCATTTTCAAGATATAAAGGTGTAGGTACATAATCAGCTTGAAGTCTTTGCATGGCATATGTTGTGACATACTCTAAAGGGATGTCAGAGCCGCACTTGAATTCTGCCGAATTCAGAGCCGCACTTGAATTCTGCCGCCTTTACCCCCTATAATTTGTCATTAATATGCCAAGCCATGGTGTCAAACTGCTTATGTATCACCACCTTAACTTCTTAATAATAACTGACTATTTCTTTTAATAACTATTTTTATAGTAATATTCAAGTCCTCGGATTTTTTTTCTCTATAAATGTACATTTTAAATTTAACGCTGAAAGAAACAACTGTGATTCTTTTAGGATGAAATCACTCCCCACAAATGACGACAACTTTTTAATTCCAAACCTAAAACATTGGAGCAACATATGTGTTCATATCACGCAGACAATCTCTCTGACGTTTGTTGTCGTCTGACTTTCTTGCTGGCCTTTTTTTATGAATTTCATTATAAGTTCGCAGTTTTTTTTTTTTGTCCGACTGACTGGCTGGCTGGCTAGCTGCTTGTCCCTGATTATGGACCATGATTTGAAAATATAAAAATTGTTCTTTTGTTTTCTTGTCCTCTTTCATTTTGTCTTTCAAAACACACAGTATTTCGGCTTTAAGTTTTTGACCCGCAAAACTTTAAATTTAAGTATAAATACAAGTGCTAGCCGGTAAACAAGCTATGGACTCAAGCCAAGTAACAAAAATATATTTCTTGTTGGAATACATATGACTAATCAATATGAGATGGATGTTTTTTTTCTCGTTGAGCCGTTACTTTAACCTTACTTTTCTTTGCTTTCTTATTAAGACTGTGGATGTGTTTGTTATGGTTGTCTTCCCCTTCTTTCTTTTTTCTTTGAACTCGGGGCGGTTTGAATGTGTTTATTTATTTTTTTTTTTCTTCGAATAAACTTGAACTTTGGAACCCGGCCAATGTTTGTGGCCGAACGATTTGCCACAGTTATTTTGTTTGGCTGTTTTGTTTTGGTTATGGCTTTCGATGTGAGTTTTTGTTTTTATTCAACATCATTACCTCTTTTTGCAATGAAGATAGTACACAGAGAAAAATGCAAGAACATGGCGTTGTCTCTATACTTCTCCTGTCTCTTTACTTCTCACCGGCAAATTCTTTCTGCGAGAGTAACATAATTTTATTCTCTTTTGCAAGAAAACTGCGAAAAGTAAAAAGACGGAATCCCCACAAAAACTTGCAATCAATCAGCTGATTTGTCAAAACAAAACCATATGTCCGGCATAAAAAAGGGAAATACGAAAAAAGTTAAAATGATTGGGATTTTAAAACTAAAACTGTGTTAAATTGGCCTGACCAAAAATATAAATTACCGGTAAGTGAAGGGTTTCAAGTGATTGCCAGAAGAGATGTTTCGGGCAAGAACTTTCAGTAAAAGAAGTGTCAAAAATTCTTTCTCGAACTGACTTCCAGTAACAATTGTTACAAATTTTAGGGAAATCTAACACAGATGTACCTAAAACTTTTCAAAATATATAGGATTAAATTTTGGAATTTGTAATTTTGACAAATAATATACAATTGTCCTGATTATTGTATACCCATTTTATACCCTCCACCACAGTATGGAGGGTATATTAAGTTTATCATTCCGTTTGTAACACCTCGAAATATACATTTTAGACCCCACAAAGTATATATATTCTTGATCAGCATAAAATTCTATGTCGATTTAGTGACGTCCGTCTATGGAAATCACTCTAGTTTCCGAACGTAGGTTGATACAATTTAACTCAAATGTATATTATGTCTGCAAGACTTTTTGTATTGAAAATGGGTTTTGGTATAGCCCCCATATAATGGTACCTCCCTATTTCCGGTATTTTGGTGATTTAAGGGGCATTATTCTCCGGAAATGTTTTAAATTTGGTGCTTGAAGTTCTTAATGGATACTACCGCCTATGACAGAAAATTGTCTGTGCAGGTCCACGTCTTCGTATAGCCCTCATACAATAGTACCTTCCGATAATCGGTATTTTGATAATTTTGAGCAACATTATTCAGCGGAATTGTTTCAAATTAGGTATTTGAAGTTCGTAATGATAAAAAATTGCCTATGACAGAAAATTTTCTGTGCAGGTCCAATTTTAATATAGCACCCCATATTATGGTACCTCCCTATTTCCGGTGTTTTGATGATTTTAGCGACATTATTCACCGGAATTGTTTCAAATTTCGTATTTGAAGTTCGTAATGGATATTACAGCCTATGACAGAAAATTGTCTTTGCAGGTCCACGTTTTCGTTTAACCCCCTATATTATGGTACCTCGATATTCGGTATTTTTCAGATTTTAACAGAATTTTTAATAGATTTTATTTATTTTTTGTTTTGAAAATTGCCCGTCAAAAAAGCGTTTTATGTATTCTCACCTTTACACCAAGTTCATATGATTCGTTCTCTATGCGTTTTTCGACTAACAGCACAACCAGAAAGTTAGTTCTACTAACTTCTAGAGTCTAAATGTGTCAAATCTATGTTCACTGAAAATAATCAACAACTCTCTGAAAAAAAAAAAAAAACAATTATCTCTGTTGTTCATATCAGTTCGTAATTTATATGTATTCGCTCAAATGCCCATAAAAATCAGGTAGCAGTATAAAAACAGAACCTATTACTATTATATACGAAACGCGTCGTATGAACACGTTAATACGTGTTCAAATTGCAATTGGAACATGGCATTAGATGCAACACAGCAATGTTCAACATATCAACAAACTATCATAGTGGAGAGTAGGGCTACGTTAGTCGACTTTTGACTAATCGATGATGCATCGACACAGCTGCTGGGACAATGAACTGTTAAACCAATTTCGGAATTTTAAATGAAAAGTTATTTAAATTTGTAAAAAATGTTGAAAAACGGGTAATAACATCCGAATGACGTCGTATAAGAAAACATATAAACATCTACTTTTATTTGAAAAGACATTTAAATTTTTTGACATATCAATATTCTTCTACCATGAAAAAGTGTCCAAAATTACGTGGATTTCCTTAAAATCTCCGGAAAATCCCTCGGTTGACTCTATTTTTTTAACTTTAGTAGTTTTTTTTAATATTTTAAAGATTTTCTCTCCGTGTATTTTACCACAAACTTTGCCAATTTCCAAATAATAATATTCCAAAAAAAAACGATGCTGTAATAAACGCCAAGACTTTCATCATTGATAATACAAGACCGTCGATCGGTCGGTCGTTTGGTCCGTTTCAATGAATGGACAATTGTTTGAGGTTTTCCATAACCACAACATAATTTTTATATTAATTTTTTCCGCTCAAATTTCTAAGCCTTTTTCCTTTTGGTATTAAGATATTCCCTATTTGAAATGTGTGTATATTAAATTCTCTCCTTTTTTCTTTGCAGCATAACCGCCAGGAGTCTATATCACCTGAATATCATCGTTATTCCAGTATTGGTAAATTACCCAAGGCTTCGGCAGCAGCGGCAAATTCAAATAATCCAGCATTGAATACAAAACATACCGTTACCGTTGATATTCACAGCAGCAGCACCAGCAACAGCAATAACAATCTTCATCACAATGTTGGCAGCAACAACACCAGCCACAATGGTACATCATCGTCCATCAGTTCGACGGGCAGCAGCAGTCTGCATGGTCACCACCACAGCAACAACAACGGCAACTATGGCGAAATTCATGCCTCATCATTTGCCACACCACCGACACGCCGTCGCTTTTTCAATCACAAAAATTTGCGCAATGCCTTAACTAACGGTGTCAGCGGTGTGGTTGGTCATCGTCGTACCGCTTCGAATGGTGGTGTTGGCAGTGGCTGTCCCATTGATACATCCTCGATATTATCCGAAGGTAAGGTTCAAATGTGATTTTTTAGCTATTCAAAAAAATAAAAAGAAACAGAAGAGAGAAAGAAATGCATTTTGCATCCAATCCAGAAATATGAATTTGAGGTTGGAACAAAAAAAAAGAAACAAAACTCACAGTGGTATGGTGAACTATATTTTTGGGGATATTAGGGTTTAGTTTCTTAAGGAATGGTTACGAATAAGGGGTTTTGTGCCCTTAAAAAGCTTAAAACATCAATTTGAGACCCAATCAGCTGTTCGATAAATGAAGCTTCCTAAAAGTATGCAATTACAATTTGTTCGAAGAATGTCACAATATTGATGTCTGGGTGTCGTCCTTATTCTGCACAGCAAACAAAGTGGAGGGGTCAAACTTCTAAATAATCCCCTCTGGTGATTTTCGAAAAGTACCTCGAGAAAATATGTTGTCCAAAAATTATTCCCAAAAATCTATAAATCCCATGAAGACCACAGTACCCAAACATCAGATAGATAAGTTTGTCGCTTTTCTCCACACAACTATGCAACTAAATCATCCATATGCAAATCGCTTTGTCATCTTCGTTAGTCTTTTTTTCCAACAAGAGGAAACATTTAAAAAATTATGGAGTTGCGGTTTGGTTGAACAAATTTTCGTTGTGCCACAAGGCAAGACAACTTCCAACGAACTCTGGAAAAAATACTATTTTTGTGCATAGAGCTTAACAACTTTCTTCTTGGTCTTCAATTTTTTTATTTTTGCAAAATGATGCTGCAGAGAGCGTATTCTCAGAACAGTATTTTGTGTTGAGTACCTTGTGATTATGTCAAGATTAAAGAAAATATTTATTATTCTTGCCTAGGAGAGCTCAATTTGTTTATAAAGGAGTTGGAGTTTGATTGACATGACCTCTCGGGCAGGTGACCTCAACACCTGTTTTATCAAAGTAAACAAGTCAAACAATTGACATTTTTATGAGCTTAAAGACAGCTTGGCGAGGCACTATGACTCTGACCAGCAGTAGGGGATAGCAATGATGTTTAACCTCAATTAAGCGGTATTGAGTGAAAATCAACTCTGTGGGACATTGGGAGAATACCGTAAACAGAGTAGGGATACCTAAGTTGACTTTCGACTCATCGATCATTCGACTTTATGTATTAAAAATTTGAAGTCGACTTTTACCAGTTGCAAAACTTTTATCAGTTGGTATTCGGTTTTAAGATCATAGATTCTTTTTTTTTTCAATAATTTTTAGGACTTTTTTTAGTAGATGTCTACTTACCAAAAAGAAAAAAAAAATAAAAAGGTTTTCTTCACAAAAACGATATTGTCTCGAAATCAATAAGCATTGAGTGAAAATCAACTATATGGGACATTGGGAGAATACTGTAAACAGTGTAGGGGTACCTAAGTCGACTTTCAACTCATCTTGAAATCGAATTTTCCCAGTTGCAAAAATGACAAAGTCCACACATGTTATTCGATTTTTTTCAATAATTTTTAGGACTTTTACAGGATGTTGTCTAGTTACCAAAAAGATCAGTAAATGAATGAATAAATAAAAAATGAATTAAGAAAGGTTTTCTTGACAAAAACTATGTTAATTCGAAATCAACAAGTAATGGTCGAAAATCAACTCTGTGAGACATTGGCAGACTACAGTAAATAGAGTAGGGATATATAAGTCGACTTTCGACTCATCGATCAATCGACTTTATGTATTAAAAATTTGAAGTCGACTTTTTCCAGTTGCAAAAATTATAATGTCCACTCCTGGTATTCAATTTTTTGGTCAATAATTTTTAGGACTTTTACAGGATGTTGTCTACTTACCAAAAAGTTCAGTAAATTTATGAATAAATGAAAAAAATGAACGAAGAAAGGTTTTCTTGACAAAAAAAAAAAACTATATTATCTTGAAATCACAAATTGATTAATCAGTCTGTGGTCATAGGTACAAATATGTATGAGATATTTTCTTGTCAATTTTCTTATTAAAAACCTGGAAAGGGTTTGTTTGTTTGCATGCAAAGAAAATAAAATTAAAGAAAATGCTAAAGACTTCTGTAGCCAACTTCAAGTTGTCCAAGGATAAAGAACAGAATTACTGAGTACAAGTATGTTTCTATTTTTTATCCTCTCAACACCTTTGCTCATACTTTCAATTCACTTTAAGACACATTTCGAAAAGTCGACTGTCAAAAACTTTTCTATACCAAAATTAGGCCAATCAAAAGTCGACTTACGTAGGGAACGGATTTGTGCATGAAATGCTTTCTTATTTGGGAATTTTATCGACTTCGACTTTGCTATTCCAAAAGTCAATCACTCGAACGTAGACTTAGGGATGCCTGTCAGGAATCGTTCATCAAACCTTTCTTTTTGGGAAATTTGTTGACATTAATTTTTAACCTCAATTTAATACCAAACCTCAATTTAATACCAAAAGTTGGCTAATCTGAAGTCGACTTACGTATCCGTAATTGGATTTGTGCATTTGGAAATTTTATCGATTTCGACTTTTCAATTCCGAAAGTCAATTAAACGAACGTCGACCGACGGATCCCTGTCAGGAATCGTTCATCAAATATTTTCTTTCTGGGAAATTTGTTGACATTAATTTTTACTTAACCTCAATTAAATACCAAAAGTTGGCTAATCGGAAGTCGATTGAACGTCGACTTACGGATAGTTATCAGGAATTGACCTCAATTTAATACCAAACGTTTACCAATTGGAACTCGACTTACGTACCCCTATTAGGACTCATATCACTCATACATATTTTTTTGTGTGTAAAATTCTCGCTATCGACATTTTGATTCTTTAATTTTGACTAATCGAAAGTCGTCTAACATATGCCTATAAATTAAATGTTTTCCTCTTAGAAAAAAGTATAGAATTTCACTTTAGAGTTTTTATTTCCTAAAGTCGACTAATCGAAAATCGACTTATGGAACTGTCAAGATCAAGTTTTTTTATAAAAAATATCACTTTTTTGGAAAATTTATCGATTTAGACTTTTACTAATCCTTAATTTAATGCTTAATCGAAAGTCGACCTACATATCCCTTTTAAGAGACGTACATAAAATGATGTTTTTTAATGGACATATCCCCTGTGCCCTCACTTTCACACCCCCTGCTTCATCATTCTTACGCTATATGCTTGTGTGCAACAACTTCAGCTTTGGGATCACAAAAAAATTATCCACAATGCTTCAACATAACCTAGCTTTAATGCAAATGTAAATATAACCTAACCTCACTTTTAGACCTAAGCTAACACACCTACACACTTTCTCATTTCTCACATATATTGCACTTATCACACTTCCCCCTGAATGCACCCACCTTTCATTACACCTCATTTTTCTCCATCACTCTCCCACTTTAGGTAAAGAAACGAATGCCTTGAATACCTCAACATGTTCTGATTCGGCTGTGACACGAAGACGCCGCAAAAATGTAAGCAGTAAATTGACCTCATCATCGGAATCAACGACTGGCAGTGAAAATCGTTTGAATCGTTTAAGTTTGGCTGGAACATCGGTGTATGCTGGGCACCTGTCATCGCTGGTGTTGGGCAAGATCAAATCGCTGTGGAGCGTAAATTCGAATTCATCGGAAGGCGGTCTAAATCAATTTACAGGCAGGACATCTTAATACTACTACTACTGCACTTCAGTTAACATAATTCATTTTTGTTGTCGTTGTTGTTTTTGCATGATTTTTTGTTATTGTTGTTTGTCTAATATTTTTTGTGGGCGTAAATTCGAATTCATCGGAAGGCGGTCTAAATCAATTTACAGGCAGGACATCTTAATACTACTACTACTGCACTTCAGTTAACATAATTCATTTTTGTTGTCGTTGTTGTTTTTGCATGATTTTTTGTTATTGTTCTTCAAAGCCCGCCTTCTTTGTGTGGAGACCTGAGATCAATGCCAAATGTTAGACATTTTTCTTGGACTCCCTTTTATGGTTTTAAGTTTTCATGCTCGGAGCACAGACACAACCAGTTTCAATAGGGCGATGTGCTATTTTGGGACCAAGAAAAGAGAGAGGGAATGGATTCATCTCCCATTTTATCCTTGAAATGGCACATCTCCAGGATAAAACCGACGTGTCTGACCTTAAGATTTTTATTTGCATGTCTTTCTGAACGTTTTCATTTGTTTTTTCAATACCTTCAACTTATTTTTAACATCCTATTTTCCTCTCTCTTCTCTCTTTACAGCCAGCGATCATCTGGGCTCGGAGGCGGAAAAACAAAAAGACCAGCTACGTGCCCGTTTGGGTCTGCTACTGGATCATGATCAAAACGGCAATGCCAGCAATACCATCAACACCACCACCAGCAGCAGCGGCTCATCGCACAACATTAGCCCCGAACAGACCTTGGCCACCGGCAGCTCTGGCCTTTCCGTCGATCATTATGGTGGCAGCCAGCTATCGGTGGCCACCAAAGATGACACCTACAGCTTAAGTGGTAAAATGAAATCGTGCTCCCTCACCGACAGCAATGGTTATGAAATATTACCCCTAAAACCACGTAAATCGGTAGCCAGACGTTCGGCCCGCTCAGCCCAATTGGGCGGGAATAGCAAACGGAATGCCATTTATAAACCTGCAGCTTTACAGCAACAACAACAAACGCCTCCTGCCATACAATTGCCCCTGAAGCCGTTGTTCTTTGAGGTACCCTTGCAGGAGCCGGATCCACCATTTATTGGGCGCCAGTGGCTCATTCGAGAACTGGCCAATACTCTGACAGCCACAGAGACTCCAGGAGTTTTGATAAATGGCAATCCAGGCACCGGAAAGACGGCTTTTATTCTACAATTGGTGGAATATTCTTGTTTTGGGCGACGCAATGCCGCCGCCACTAGTGCGGACAGTGACCCGGATGGTATCTATTACCAAATCAGCTCGGTTACCGATCGTCTTCGCTCCTTGGCCTCCTATGTGGTGGGCTATCATTTTTGCCAGGCCGATGCCAATCTAACCTGTTTGGTACCCGACTTTGTTCACTCTCTGGCTGCCCAGCTGTGCCAGGCTCCCCAATTGGCCGCCTATCGGGAATATCTACTCAATGAAACCCATTTACAGGATATCCTAAGTGTCAAGGAATGTATTGCCGATGCCGAACGGGTCATGCGAATGGCCATTTTAGAGCCCCTGACCGTCCTTAAGAGGGCTGGAAAAATACCTGCCAAAACTTGCATTATCCTGGTGGATGCCCTGTGTGAGGCGGAATATCATCGCCCGGATCATGGCCACACCATTGCCACATTTCTTGCCAAAATGACTCAATACTTCCCCTCCTGGCTAAAGGTGGTGGCCACGGTGCGCACCCAAATGTTAGAATTTGTCAAAGGACTGTCCTACACCAAAATGACCTTGGATAGTTGGGCATCCAATGATCTACTGCAAAAGGATATGCTGGACTATATCACTTTTCGGGTAAACAACTCCATGGAAATTCAGAAAAATGTGGCTGTAGTCAAGGATCACAACACCGGACAATTGAAATTCATTGGCCACCTCCAGACGCTGACAAAGGGATCCATGTTATATGCCAAACTAATCTTGGATCTGATTGAAAAGGGCCAACTGGTCATCAAGTCCACGAGTTACAAAGTGCTGCCCATTTCATTGGCTCAAATCTTTCTGCTGCATTTTAATCTGCGTTTCCCGACGGCCTGTAGTTTTGAAAAGGCTTCGCCGATTTTGAACGTTTGCCTGGCTGCCCTCTATCCATTGACGCTGAACGAGATCTATTACACCGTATGCGCCATGAAAACCGATGAAGTTATGCCTTGGGATGAATTCTTGCAGAGATTCAAGTTGCTCGACGGCTTCCTGATCAAGCGTATCGACAACACGTATATGTTCTTCCATTCCTCCTTCCGGGAATGGCTGATTCGCCGTGACGAAGGAGAATCAACGAAATTTCTGTGTGATTTTCGTTTGGGTCATGCAGCAATTGCATTCCGTTTGTCAAGGTTGCAGGCTCCGCTGGATGCGGAACAAACGCTGGAATTGGGCCATCACATGCTGAAGGCGCACATTTATCGCAACAATCAGGGTCCACAATCGCCAAGGGATATGCAATCGTATTGGGTCTCCACCGTGTCCGATAATGTCTCGGCGGCCTTGGGTTCCTTGCGCAATGTCTACAGTCCGAATTTGAAGGTGTCCCGCCTTATTCTGCTGGCTGGAGCTTCTCCCCATTATCGCACGGAATTTATGGGCGATGCAACCATTCTTTGCATAGCAGCCTATGAAGGTATTGTGCCCATGGTTAGTTTGCTGCTGGAATTTGGGGCCGATGTGGGTCTGACCAACAGCCAGGGTTGTACACCCCTAATTTTGGCTGCCATGAGGGGTCACTGTGATGTGGTGCGTCTCCTGGTGGCCGCCGGCAGCAGTTTGGGTCAATGTGATACCACCCAACGCTGTGCCTTAGTTCAAGCGGCCCGCATGGGACGCCTCAATGTTGTGAAATATCTGCTGGCCTGTGATTGGACTCCCCGACCCGATTCCAATGATGTCAATCTGCCCACTGCCATACATCAGTCCCTGATTGCGGCCGCCTCCCAGGATCACATTACAATTCTGGAAGACCTGCTGGATATGGAAGATATTGATGTGAATACCATTGAACCTTGTTCTGGAGAGTTGGCCTTGACCTCGGCGGCCCGCAATGGCTGCTTGAACACTGTTGAGGTGTTACTGACACGTGGAGCCAACATTGATCTACACAATAAACAGGGTTTCACTGCTCTTGGCCTTTCCGTCAAAGAGGGTCATTGGGCTGTGGCCGATAAACTCCTACAAAATGGTGCTGATCTCGACGAACCTGTGACTTCGGCAAGAAAAACCGCCCTCATGATTGCGGCTGAAGAGGGCCATTTGGAAATACTTGAAATGCTCATTGAACGCGGCGCCAGTTTAGAGACCCAAGATCATGAAGGTTTCACAGCCCTGTCATGGGCCTGCCTTAGAGGACGCCAGACGGCAGCCAAAATCCTGATAGACAAGGGTTGCAATAAAAATCATGCCGATAATAATGGTCGAACAGGTCTCGATTTGGCCGCCTATCAAGGCTCCGCGCATTTGGTCCAGTATTTAATGGATCAGGGTGCACACATAGAACATGTTGACATCAATGGTATGCGACCATTGGATCGGGCTATCGCTTGCCGCAATATCCAGGTGGTGCAGGTGTTTTTGCGCAAGGGTGCCAAACTGGGCCCGACCACATGGAGCATGGCCATGGGTAAACCGGAAATTCTGGTGGTCTTACTGAATAAACTACTCGAAGATGGCAATGTGCTGTATCGGAAAAATCGTTTCCACGAAGCTGCCCACCGCTATCAATATGCCCTGAGGAAAATCTCCAATTTGGAAACGCTTCTTGAGCGCAGCGCCGTTTTTGCCCAGCTGAGAACGAATCTATTGTTGAATTTATCCAGATGCAAGAGGAAACTAAATGTGAGTAGAGAAAAAAAATTAGTTTTGCAAATTACTTAAAAAAGTGAGGTTATAATCGATTGTTTTGGGAACTATGGAATTTGGGTTAGTAAGGATTAGGGTTTGTAAGGATTTTGACCATTAGCCAAAGAAACCTCTCAACAAAATCCTTGTAATGAAATATGTAACTTTTAAAGAAATCGTTGGAAACCCCAAATCCAAAAATAGGGTTATAAAGATCGTATTATAAATTTTACTATTTTTGCCTTGAACAGAAGTTGATTTTTTGATCTTCCAAATTTTTCTTTTTCGACTAAAATTGATTTCGAGTTCAGATTTTTTAAAGTTTATTTCTGCTAAACAGATGATAATATCGATTGTTTAACTTTTTGATGGGTATTATTGCTAGTTGAAAGATTTAAATATATGGATCGGGCGTATTTGGGTAATACGGACGTATAAAACATTTGACCATAGTGGGGAAGTTGGTTTGTGTACGCTACGTTGAATTTTAGGGAACGCTGTAACGCTTAAAGACGATTGGTCGAATGTCGACTGACGTATCCCTATTCATTGACCAAGTGCAATAAATTTTAAAAAGGGATTGTTTTTTGTGTTTTTGTTGTGGAAATACAATTCTAAACCCTAACAAAATCCCTTGATGAGAGTCCCTATTATATTAGAAATCCAAATAATCGAAAAAAAAAGAAAAAGTCAAGTCGTGTTAGTTCAAAGTCCCAAATCGGAATAACTCTAGTTTAGTAAAAACTCTTCGATTTTTTTCCAGAGGTAGGTATTCTTACCCTGATTCCGGGAAATCATTTATTTCTTGGAGGACGTAACCAGGAAACCAGATTTTTGACCCGAAGTTCCGGGTTTACGACCCGGGATGGACCCGGATCCACTTACCCGATAGACAATACAGGTATCGTTTAAAAGCTTATGAAAATAACGACCGTTGACGTTTTATTTGGAGTCGGATTTTTTATAAAACTCCCAAAAAGTCAGAAGAGGCCCCATTCTGTGGGTCAACAAAGCTGATGCCAAATTGTAGCTGACACTCTTACCTTTCCAAAATGCTACAATTTGTATTAATATCTTTTTCCGGTCCAGAGAAATTCTCTTCTGCGCGAATTAAAGTTTTTCTAAATTTAAGCTTCCCAACGATACCTATATTGTCTATATCGGGTAATTGGGTCTAGTCGGGGTCTTGAACCCGGACTTTCGAGTCAAAAATCTGGAGTCCCCCAAGAAAAAAATAGTTTCCCGGGGTCAAAGTAAAAATACCTACCCCTGGAAAAAGATTTCGAACAAATTAAAGAGTTTTTACTAAACTAGAGTTAAGCCTAAAAATCTATATTTTTGATATTCCGAACCATTTTTAATAATTCCATCATGATATATATAGAGTTTTTTTTCAAACTGGATGATTGGTCCCGTGGGGGGGGGGGGGTTGTCTATTCGAAATTATGGATCTTTGTTGATAATTTTTTGTAAAAAAATATATTTTGAATTATCACTCAAAATATCGCGTTTCACACAAATCGATTTGAAATTTGCCTGTAATCTTGATTTTTATTAGGTTTTACCTCTAGGGCTTTTCGATTAGCAACTCTGACCAGAATACGGGATATGAACCGATTAAGTATGAATTTAACATAAATCAAGAATAGAAACCTTTTGAATCCAGCGGTTAGCAATCATACTCCTCAACCCCTTCTTTTTGTTCAATATTTTGTACTAATATTTTTTTCTTTCTTCTCTCATTCCAGGAACTTGATGAATCAATAGATTTGGCTTCGCAGGCTATTGCGCAAAAACCCAGCAGCTATGAAGGTTATTATGCCCGGGCCAAGGCACGCATGGAACATGGTGATTTGAATGAAGCCCTAGCCGATGCCAATGAGGCCATGCAAAAGGCGGCCCAAAGTGGCGTGTTAAATGAGGTCATAGAAGTGCTCAAACGTATACAGGCTGAACTGCTGCAGCGCATAACAAACGAGGGACGTAATCAACAGACTTCCTCGTCCACTTCGTCTGGTTACGAAGTAAGCAATGCCAGCGGTACATCGGCGGCCTTAAACGATGGAGGTGCCTTTGAATCTCAACAAGAGATAACGGATTTATAAATTCAGAGAGCCTTACATACACACACACACACAATAAAACGGGAGGTGCCTTTGAATCTCAGTAAAAGAGATAAATAATTTGTAAAATTTAGAAAATGAGAGACAGGATTGAGGTTCGTTTCTATCCAACTTAACGACATGCGAATTAGAATTTAAAATACATATATACATGGCAGTTACATTGATTTACTTATTAAACTTATTGGTAATTAAATTGTTTAAATCAACCACATGTTTTTTTTTACTTTTGTATTTATTTGTGAGTTCTTTTTAATTTTTGTTTTATTTGCTAAAAAATTTGGTTTAAATTAATATTTATAATAAATTATTCTATTGTATTTTATATATATATACTTGTTTATATATACACACACACTTTAATAGTTTCATTATTATTATTATCATTAATATAATTATAAAGTTTACGTTTCACATTTAGTTCGAATATATAAAAAACAAAAACCTTTTTTTATTTTTTAAAAACAGAATAATGTTTTTTTATGGTTATATAATAATACACGAGTTTTTCATGCATACAATTTATTATATTTTATATTATGGGATATTATTATTACTTATATATAAACAAGAGAATTTTTACTTTAAACTAAGCAAAGATTTGAAAACAAAAAAAGGAGAAAAATAAAAAAAGTTTGTGCAAAAAGTTAAAAATTATATGCGGTTTTCTTTCGAAAACACTTATTTGGGGTCTTTAGTAATACATACAAAAATTCTAATATGTAAATTGTTTACTTATGCATCTTGTATAGGAGATAATTGCATTTAATAAAAAAAATGGAAATACTTAGAACAGCATTTAGTCTCATTGTGGGTTGACATGATAGGGTTTGGAATCTGTGGAATATTAAACCTAATTTGGTTTTTGAGATAGGGCGGTATGATAAATTCAATTCTTTTTGTCATGCTCATTATCTGCATTGCCGTGATTTGGATTAGCTACCAAGGGCACCATCACCTGTAGATATGGTTCGTAGTCGGGACCTGAAAACAAAAATTAAATAAAATTAATTTAAAGAAATAACAGATAGTCGAAAATTTTAAAAGCGTGGCAAGCTCTTCCAAATTGTTTGAAATTTTCGAATTAAAATAGCTTGGAATCCGTTGATTTTAGGTGTAAATTATCTTAGGTAATATTGCATATAAATAACGAGTGTTAATTTGGTCGAAAATGTTAACGAGTTAACAAAGGGGGGTCTCTTTATTTCTTTTTGGAAAATATAGTTCACCCTTTAAACGGAATCGGGGGAAGTCAACATTTCCTACAAAATTATTATTCATATTCCGCTATTGGCCCTAGAAGACCTCAGAAGTCTAAATCTTACCTAAACGTTAATTCATATATATTAAGAACACATTTTATGGTTAAATCGGTACATTATGTGAGTTTATGAAAAATCTCCTACAAAGCACCATTTTAGAAGAATTAAGTAAGAGACAAAAATATTCTTTCTCAAATTTCACTAAGGGTCGTCAAAGAAAAGAAATCTATACTTCCACTGCATATCAAACAAATATTTCCATCAATATTCCCAAAGCAAATTTTAGGGTTATCTCCTACAAAGCATCGGTTTGAAAGTCATACAAGGCACCATTTTAGAAGAATTAAGTAAGAGACAAAAATATTCTTTATCAAATTTCATTATAGGTCACCAAAGACAAGAAACCTCTATTTCCCCTGCGTATCGAAAAAATATTCGCATCAATGTTCCCGAACTAAATTCGTACTTTATATAAGTCTATGCAAAAATCTCATACAAAGCATTGTTTTAGAAGGATGACATCAAAGACAACAACATTTTGCATCAAATTTAACTATAAGTCGCCAAAGAAAAGAAGTCTATATTTCCACTGCATATCAAAAAATATTTGCATCAATGTTCCCAAAGCATATTTTAGGGTTAAATCCGTAGATTACAAAAATCTCCTACAAAGCATCTTTTTAGAAGAAATAAGTAAAAGACAAAAATATTCTTCATCAAATTTCACTATAAGTCACCAAAGAAAAGAAATCTATATTTCCACTTCATATCAAACAAATATTTGTGTCAATGATCCCAAAGCATATTTTGGGGTTAAGGCCGAACTCTATGTGATTTTATACAAGAATCTCATACAAATCATCGTTCTAGAAGGATGACATCAAAGACAAAAACATTTTGCATCAAATTTAACTACAAGTCGCCAAAGATAAGAAGTCTATATTTCCACTGCATATCAAAAAATATTTGCTTCAATGTTCCCAAAGCGTATTTTAGGGTTAAATCCGTAGATTCCAAAAATCTTCCTACAAAGCATCATTTTGGAAGAAATAAATAAAAGACAAAATATTCTTCATCAAATTTCACTATAAGTTACAAAAGAAAAGAAATCTATATTTCCACTGCATATCAAAGAAATTTTGCATTAATGTTCCCAAAAAAGTCTCGAGAATATTTCCTATTTTTTTAAGAATTTCTAATCGACTTTGTTATAATAGATACCTGTATATGACATGAAATTTCGTTGTAGGGAAAAGGTGTCAAAGGAAGAAATGTTCTATACAAAATTTCCCTATAAATCTCAGAATAAACCCTACATCTATATACAATATTTGTTATGATAGTTACATTCGAAATTCATTCACTACAAATGATTATCCGTTTGCTATTTTTGGCTATTAATTTAACACTTTTTAATCCAGATCAAAATCTGCATTTATACTTCATTTTTTGAATAAAGTGTCAAAGAAAGAATTATTCTAGATCAAATTTCATTGTAAGTCGCTGAACAAAAGGATTTTGTATATTCAATATGTACCATGAAAAAATACCATTCATTTTTGTCATTTCTGAAAAATTTAGCACCTTTACCGATTTGCTGAAAATTTGCATATAATTTCACTGTGCAATAGCCAATCTCGGTTGTGGAAACTTGCAAGTGGACTTAATAGATTTCGTTTGTAGATCAAAACCTCAAAAGAGTTTCAGGTTCTTAGGGCCAAGCCTGTTGTTGCTAAGGCCTTTATTTTGTTTTGACTATACACAGAGGAACTCCTATAGTTTGAGATATATTTCGCAACATTTTGTATAGAGCTTTGAAATATGATAAAGATCTTTGAATCACATTCAATTTTATTGGTACAGAAAATGCTACATATCGGTCTATTGTAGGGAGTAGCCCCCATGTAAGGATAACTCCGATTTCGAGTATTTTTTACGTTTTGGCCATGTTTTGCGCCAGAGATTGGGATTTTGGGTTCTTATTATGTAGAAACGCTACAAAAATTTTTAATATGGGTAAACCTTTTGGCACAGCCCTTATACATATCAAAATACAGCAGACCTAAACGTGGATTAAATTAAATTACCAAAAGACTTCTAATGATATTCTCAAATTTTCGAATTTTCTTTCAAAAGGGCTAACAAAGCTCAAATCGTAAAAGTTTGAAATACTTTTTATGACCGCCATGAATATTTTTATTGAATTGTTTTTTTTAAACATCATCTTTCACTTACTCTGTTCCAGCACAGTCTCCAAATCATCAGGCTGTTCCAGTGTAGGTATATCGGCATTTGTTGATTCCTTTAGAATGACAATGATCTCCTTGGAGGCTTTGAGCAGGAACAAAGGAATATTCATGCGTATCAATTCCTTGTTGAGAGCGCCAATACCACGGCCAGCGGTGAAATCAAAATCTACAAGACAAGAACAAATCGATGATTTTTTTTCTTCAAGGAACTTCTCACAATGATTACAAACCATGAACATTTGAGCAATCCAAAATTACAGGTGCCGAACCATGAGTTTCCAATGCCTTAGAAATTCCGGTGCGCACCCATTCAATTGCAGGAAAATATAAAGAGCTGTGTTTGGGCCTTATCAAAATATAAGAAATGCCATGGGTGGTCTGTAAGTTGAGCGAACTTCATTAGATATTTTGAATATTACCAAGATTATGTTTCCACTTACACTCAATTTGTTAACTGTTAGTACGGGACGGGCCACACGATATACCAAAAATGCAACATCAGCTCCCACGCCCAAAAGAAGGCCAATCTCCACACCCACTGCCAAGCTTACCACAAATGTAATGGCCCCGGGTAAGAGTTCACGGCGACTGCAACGCCACAATGGTTTGATGACCTGAAGATAAATAAGGTTTTCATTATTATTTCCAAGAGTGAGAGCAATTTACCCTTTTCTACCAACCTCAAACTCAATCATAAATATAACCGCCGAAATAATCACAGCACTCAGTGAGGCCTTGGGAATATACTGGAAATATGGTGTCAATAAACCCAATGCCAATAGTACCAATGCACTGGTATAAAATCCACCAATTGGTGTTCTAACACCACTGGCATGATTTACGGCACTACGCGAGAAAGACCCCGTCACAGGTATTGAGGAGAAGAACGAACCACATATATTACTCAATGACAATGCCACAAGTTCACGTGTTGGCGAAATTCCAGCTCCGCCAAAAGCCTTTGATATTGCCACATTACCCAATACCGCAATTATGGGTAAAATAATCATTGAAGGACCCAACTCTTCCAACATTGCCGAATAATTTTGTGCAGTTTCTGTCCCATTTGCATTTAGAATTGTTGTTTTAAATTGTGGCAATTGAAATTCGGGTAAACCACTTTTCACTTTACCCGTTAAGATCAGTGGACATGCATCCTTGTTCTGACATGTGTAATAGGCTATGGTACTGCTTATTAAAACCACCAGAGCATTACGTCCGGTGGCCACAATCCAGAGGAAACTTTTCAGGAATTTGTTGGAATTTTGAAGTTTTAAGTCTTTCAGTTTCTGAAATGGAAACGCATTATTTATTATCAAATGATTTCCACAAAAAACCGTTTCCAAATATCTACTTACCCTTAATAGCAACAGAATAATAATGGCAGTAACACCTAAACTAAAATCCCCAATACGAATTTTATCTAAATTGAGAAACACAGATTTCATGGTGTTTATAAAACCGGAACCGGAACCACCACGCAAGCCCAAGAGACCCTAAAAAAAATATAATTATGTTAATATTAAAAAATATTAATGGTATATGAAAATGACTATAAGGAGCAACATTTTTAAGAAAGTCGTAATGAACGAGGTCTTCAAATTATGTGCAACATACATCGAAATGATTTTTGTACTCTGTACATTATTTTATTTGCAATAGTTTCTTATAATCTCTAGTTCCTTGTAACCATTCTCCTTGATTTTTTTTTGCTCACCTTGATTTGTGATGTTCCAATAATAACTGCGGTGGCTGATGTGAAACCCACTGTAACGGGCAAAGATATCAAGTCAACCAATGCGCCTGAAAGTATGCCAAGAAATTTGCAACAATAAAGATAAGTTAAAGCAGGAAGGTATTATACCTAGAAAACGTAATAAATGAATATTTTAGAAAACGAAACATTTTCCTGAAAAAAAGTTATTCGTGATGGAATTCAAGCGTTTCTTTAGATTTGTCTGGAAAACCACAAGTGGCTATCGTTAGAGCACTCCAGCATTTAAATGTGAATGACAGCCTGTTCCACGATCTCGAAAGAAAATTTGTGCGAACGAAGGCTACTCACTCACTTTCGTATAAGAATGCGTTCCACTATCTTTCGTTCTTTCTTTCGCATAGCCTTACGTGATTCAGTGTTGCTAAATATTTTTTTGGAAAAATTAATCGCGAAATAAAGCAAAAAAAAAGCGTCAAATGTCTAATTTAAACGCGAAAAAGCAGCAGTGGCTCTGTCTCAACTGACATTTCAGTTGTAAACAAACAAATTGTAAATAAACAAACGAAATAAAATTTCTAGTGATTGTGTTCAAACTATTTGTGCTCTTAGAAAATAAAAAAAAGAATATTTCCGTAGCCCTATTTTTTATGGAGGAGGTTCGAAATGTGCCACGGAGGAATTTAAGAGATGCTTCGAATTTATTTGAAGTACCTAACAACCAGTAAGTATGATTGTATTTTTACATTTTTGAAATAATAAAAAATGATTTTTTCTAGGTTTGTGGCCAACTTTCGTGTGTCGAAGGAAGTTTTCGGGCTCTTTTGGATATGATGGAAGAGAAGTGGGTGCCCGGTTGCAGAACTACCCAAATCCGCCCCGATTTAAAACTTCTTCTGCTGCTTCCAAAAATTGGCATTCCTCTGGCGAACACAGGATTCTCCTCCATTTACTCAACTAGTGCCCGCAGCTGTGTAGTTGATGATTTTTTCGTGCTGGAATTGAGAAAATAAAAAATATATATATTTGTTGTTCACATATTAAATTGCATTTATTATTTTTACTTACATTTTTGTTTCCATTTTCAATCAAGCAATGTTTATGTTAAAACAATTTTCCTTAATTGTTATTATACGATAGCAAACACACAAGTGACTGATTTTGACATTTGTGTTCGCATGCGTACGAAAGAAAAAAGATAGTGGAACGCAAAATTACACTGAAATGCTTACGTTTTCGTTCGCTTTGATTTTCGTGCAAATTTTCGTTCTGATAGATTTTAGTGGAACGGAAATCAGCTGTTTGTCGTGTAAAAGTTGTGCGAACGTGTTCTTTCGATATCGTGGAACTGGCTGTGAATCTTTTGTGTGTCGTACCTTCGCCCGTTACAGTGATACTGACAGCGAAGCCCGACGTCACAGCAGAAATGATTCGAAAAGTAAAGAAGCTACTTGATAGAAATCCGCGTCACAGTGGCCGAAAAATGGCTCGTGAGCTGAACATATCGCAATATTCCATTCGGCAAGTATTAAAAAATGGTCTCGGGGTAAAGCCATTGAAATTCCAAAAAGTGCAAGAACTTACACCTCAACAGAAAGAAGATAGACTCAAAAGAGCTAAAAAGTTGTTCCGCTTGGCCGAAAGTGATGAACTGCCGAATTTGGGTTTCTCCGATGAAAAAACATTCGTTGTCCAGCAGTTTGTAAACAAACAAAATGATCGTGGATCGGGTTTACTTGCAGAAGAGGTCAGTAGAAAATGTGCACCTTCGGTTGGCCACCAGAACTCAAGCGCCAGCCATGGTGTTGGTGTGGGCCGCCATAACAGTCGATGGTCGCTCTCCACTCCTATTAATCGACCGTGGCATCAGAATAATTGCCGAATATTATGGCGAAAATATTCTGGAGGGTGTATTAAAGCTTTGGACCTTGGACATTCCACCAGGACTCAGCACCATCGCACTCATCACGCGCCACCTACGAGTGGTTACAAAATGAGGTTCCTCGCTTCATTTCCAGCGCATAATGGCCACCAAAATCTCTGGCTACCAATCCGTTGGACTATTGTGTCTGGAGTACTTTGGAATGCAAGGTTGGCACTAAAAAATACCAAAGTATCGATCACCTCAAACAAGCGGTTCGCAGGGAATGAGCCAAAATACCGCAGAGCAACATTCGGGCAGCGTGTTACAGTTTCATCGGCCGTTTGAAGGCCATAATTCGTTCCAAAGGTAAAAAATTCGAACAAATCTAAATTTATTCTAAAATTTGAAGCTATTTCCGACATTGTTTGCTTTCATTTAATAAAATTTAAAAAAAGTAAAAATTATGGCGTTTAACTTTGTTGCATTTTTTATCTCACCCTGTATATGGGAGCTTTAGCTATATCTGAACCGATTTTCATCAAATTCGACATACTTGTCTTTAGGTGCCAATTGGTCGTACCCAACATACCAAAAATACAATGCAGCTTGAGAACAATATTATAAAAATATAATTTTTCAACAATGCTTGAGAAACACTTATGTTCCACAAACATTTCTCAAATCTGTCCCTTGTTGACAAATTAGTTTTGATTTTTTGTGAAAATTGTCAGCAAGAAATTATTTTCTTTGGCAGAAAACAAAATCACGCGAATTTAGGACCCATTTCTGGACCGAACCCTTAAGGTATGCATGAATAATAAATCCGGGAAACTTTCACATAAATTATTCCAATCCCATTTCAGATTGGAAGCATCAAAAAAGTTGAAGGAATTCAATAGATGTGTAGTCTTAGTGGAAGAGATGCAGAAGTTCAAATAAGGGAGAAGAAAGCGTCAGGGTATCAAGGCCACATGAGGCAGTGACTACTGGGATGTCCATCAAGGAAAAAATGTGAAAAATGATTAAAAATTTAAAATATAATAATATTATATACTATTACAAAAATAAGCTTATTATAATATTATTTTTGTAAGCTTATTCTACAATTTCAAGTATAAGCTTATAAATAAGGGTTCCGTTTCGATTATTCTATACTTGTTACACAAACATTTTTCAATGTTTTCTCAAGATTTTCTCAAGCTTAAGGCTTATGTTCATAAGCTTATTGTAATATTATTCTCAAGCCATTTTGGTATGTTGGGTAATTACAAAATTCAATACTATTCTACCAGGGCCATGGTAGAATTACAAGGTAACCCTTTCAGGCCAGCTGGTATCAATTTGATATGTCAAAAAATTGTTGTAATTTGAATTCGCCTTCGTTTACACATAAGAAAATTGTTGCATGATTTCAAACTTTAACAATGCTATTGATAGAAAATCGAGATTTTACGTTTTTATAGAGTATGAGGGAAAAAGTGTATATTCAACTAATGGTAGGCATAGGTAATATGGAGATCTAAAATTCGTGGATATTTTTGAATAAGTGAAACAGGGAATCAATTTCATATAGGAGATAAACCGATACATGAAATTTCATCATCTTATTTGTACGGATTTTCAACTATGTTATACACTATAGGGCTTCAACAGTGAAAGGTGAATGATTCCTAAGCATATTGGATTGGTTTGGGGAACAAAACCTGTCTGCTATACATTTCATAGCTGAGCAAATAATATGCGTGGACTTACAGTAGACTCAGCCCCCTGTATCTTCTGCAATCTTTGATACAAATCTTAAGTAAGCCTGAGGAGTAAATATACCCTAAAGTACCTTTTAGGTAGCATGTCACTACAGCGAGAAAGCTGACGATGCAGCAAAAGAAAAAAGGGTACACCCCAGAACCACCACAAAACCTAATTTTAAAGCATCAAAACTAATTTTCCGTATATTTTCTTGTAAAGAACATTATCGCTGTTGAATATGAAATCAACGTTGCCAATGTTACCAAGACTGCATGCTGTGTAAGGATGATGAAGAGATAACAACGATTGGACATCTATTATCGCAAATGTCCTTCGTTGGCGCGCTGGAGACTACGATCACTCCATTTCCAGTCTCTGTGATTTTCAAAAATGTTGTATTGAACGTGCTATAATCAAACCAAGATGCAGCGGCTTCAGCATTACTTTCAATCGATGTTGGAAGTTTTGAATATTTGCTTTTATAATAGAAAAAAACAACAATTTTGAACATTTTTGATTCAATATTTTGATTGGAAAAACAATTTGCCCCAAATTTTGTACTTCAAAACAATTCGCCCTGACTACAACTTTGACATATCAAGTTTCCAAAAAAAGTTGCTTTGTTGTAATTTTCGCCTGGTATTTCTACCATGATTTGGGCTGATATTAGACGTTTGGTGCACAATAAAAGGCAAATCGGACGAAGATATATATGGGAGCTATATTTAAATTTTGATCGATTATCTCAATATGATTCGTCCTTGGGTCAAACAAATGACTTGTACAAAATTTTATCAGGATAGGGCAATATATGCGACCTCTACTTTGTTTACAAAATTACATGGGAAGACAGACGGACCGACGGACATGCATAAATCGACTGAGAATGTGATTCTATACAGATCACGAAATGGAACTATGGGTCGATCTAGTTTCCTTTTGCCTATATACAAACAATGCGATTTACGAAGACATCGTCGTAGCTACCAGGCTAGTAGCTATAAAACTGGGTTAATGTCCCGAAATGAGTGTAAATTTCCCAGCACATGTAACTCTTATCAACTGAAAGTTAGGGAATTGACATTGTGGCTACACTGATTGTTTAAGGGAAATGGACGAATAAAGGTGACGATGTGGCTAATTTATGGACAACAGTTAAATCGATTTGGCACTGTAAGTAAGGATTAATATAACCTTAGTGAGTAATACTACGACCTATCAAATATGTGAAGGAGGTACCACCAAATGTTATCCCAAGTCACGTTCGCAATTAGTCAAATTAAATAAACCCAGTAAGTTTAAAATTTATTACATGAAACATCATAAAGAGATAGGAAGTTAAACCGACAAAAAACTCCTATATAAACATACTATTAGTTTGTGAAATTAATCTGCCAGACAGCCAAACGGGAAATGGGTTAAACCCAATCACGTGTATTGACACAAATGGTCACAATTGGTAACATACCTGTTATTTGGTACGTTTTTATTAATTAGTTCCCTTATTTACATATTCAAGACCTAGATTATTTTCT